TGGCCATCACCTCACAGTTGTCTGTGTCTATGGGTTATGCACGTATGTTCTTTGGCTAATCCCTTCACCTTCTTTCATCCAGTCCCCCTTCCCTCGGAAATCTATCACTCTGTTCCATGTATCCATGCTTTTGGTTCTATTTTGTCTGTTAGTTTACTTTGTTCATTGGATTCCACATACAGGGGAGGTCATGTGGTATTGGTCTTTCTCTGACTGGCTTATTTGAGTTAGCGCAATAATCTCCAGGGCCATCCATGTTGTCACAAAAGTTAAGAGTTCCTTCTTTTTACAGCCATGTAGTAACCCATTGTGTAAATGTGCCATACCTTTTTGTCCACTCATCTACTGATGGGCTGTTTCCAGATCTTGGCTGTGGTAAATAATGCTGTTATGAACATGGGGGTGCATACATTCTTTCTGATTGGTGTTTCAGGATTTTTAAATATATTCCCAGAAGTGGGATCACTGGGTCAAAGGCAGTTCCATTTTTAATTTTTTGAGGAAACTCCACACTGTTTTCCACAGAGGTTGCACCATTCTGCATTTTAACCAAGAGTCTCCAATTCCATTTCCCCCTAGGGGGGCTTGCTGCCGGTTCAGGTTGGTACAGCCAACCGTCCCCTCTGCAGGAGTCAGCTCAGCCACCCTGGGCTCAGGGGATAGATCAAAAGAGTCTCCCATTGAGAATGATGCTCGCCCAGCCCACAGGAGGGGCTAAGCACTTTCTCAAGGTCCCAGACAATGGCCTCGGAGGGTCTCACACTTTGAACTCTCTGCTCTGAGCCTCTCTCCCTTTTCCCTATGGAACTGTGCCCGTGGTGGTATCCAGGACATGGCAGGGCTGATCCAAATAGTCTCCCTTTGAGGGTGGTGCCTGCAACCTGAAGGAGAGGGCGGGCACTTCTTCCCCTTCCCTGGGTAGTCAGGCTGAGCTTGCAGGGGAGCCTGGATTTGCCTTTCCGCAATGCAGCCACACAGCCCTGCCCTGGCCCATCTGGCCCCTACACAGAAGCCTGCCCTGGAGACAGTGCAGAACTCTCAGTTCTGCGAAGCTCCCGGCACCGGGCACCGCCCTCTTTCCCCCTCCCCAATCCTGTGCTGCGGAACTATGCAGACAAGAGGAAGGTCAGCCTTGCATGACCCTCTGATCTTTCCATGCGGCTGATCTCAGCAAGACGGGGCCAGAAGTCTGGCTTCCCTGTGTGCTAGGGTGAGGGACTGTGGCATGGAAGGGTTACAGAATGTTACAGAATATGCTAAGGGGAGGAAATGAGACATGAGAAATTGAATGTGCTGGGAGGGGGGACTGACGTATGGAGAAGGATTGTGTTGTCAGGATATGGAGAAGGATTGTGTATGTGCTGGGAGCGGGGACTGACGTATGGAGAGGGATTGAAAAATTGCTAGATTGTCTTAGAAATCAATGTGTTATGATACGCTCCAGCCAGGTGTGACTCTGTTTACCGCCCCCCTTTGTTCTTATGAACTTTCTGTGAACTTCTAAGGTAACACTGTTTTGCTATAAAGGATCATACTGCACCCTTGAT